CATTTGCCTTTGTTGTTTATTTTTCAGACAATGGATACTAAAAATCTAGGTATTGAACTCTGTCTGACCACCTCTGGAGTGCTGGTCCATGTGTTGTGTTCATACTGGGTGCTAAAACGGGCGTGAACAACGGTTTTTATGGGGCGGGGAGGGGGACTGGGGAAACCACGACAAACAATCTCTCTCTCTTCCCCACCCCCTGTTCCGTTGGCACGAACGGTCATATCAGGAGGTGATAAGCTGCGGTAAACTGGTTAATTACGGTTGACTGAACTGCTCGAGAATCAATGGAAAAGTAAAATTATCAATAATGCAAACTGAGATGTAATAAAACTTGGTGTTAATTTGTTTTAATTTTTTTCACAAATTTCGTAAAGTCACTTTGGCAACGTGACTGAAAATCGGTGAGCGAAGATTTGATTGGTTCCGGGTGCTTTACGGAATTTGACTTGAAATTCAAATACACTAACTGAACATTCAGACTGACCATGTATGTTGGGAATAATGTGACTACGGAACGTCTGCGAACAATACTTCCAGCTCGGAGAACACCGCAACATTAATATGTGTATACTTGTATTCGGGAGTCTGATATCGGTCAACTTTGTCCTATGCGAGATCGGGAAGCATGTTTCCTCCTGTATTGTACTGTATTGTATTCAAGCTTTAGCGAGTTATATATACAACCTTCCCCCTGCTCGGGTTTTTCATGTTCGTATTATACGCGTTCAGAAAGGTTGGATTTCCACTGATAGCAGTTCTCATTCACTTGACCTCTATGGTGTAGCCCCGCTAAACTAGTCACAATGTCCATTCTCGATTTACACTGGTATCGATCTCGCTCGCACGCACACGTGCGTCAAATTTGGACCACTTTTCACGCTAAAACCCTGATACCTCAGTGAAGAACTGAGTTGTCAGTCAGAGTGTTATGGTGCGCTAATTCAATTCTCAAAGCACTTTTTTGCCCTATTCTGAAATCCTCTGATCTTTTGACGTGTGTTCACTAAA